TTCTGGCTCGCTTTATTAAATCTGTTGAACCATTAGGGTTGATTGTTTTAATTTGTAAATATGATTTAATTTTATCATAGCTTTAAATTTCTCATTGTTTATCTTAAGGACTATGTTGATTAATCAGTGTTCGGATACACTAGTAGAACTGAATGAATGATTTGGTTTCTCACGTAATTGATAGTTGGAGTAAATTATTGTCGAGTGTTTTAAAAATCTAAGAAAACAATCTATATGTATTCACTGCAAAAACAGTCCTAAATCAATGAGCATCGGCGAGTTATTATCTCACATTAGAGTAAATTAAACTAATTAAGAGAAGGTTCTTCCTACTGGAAGTACATCACCAAACAAATCACTAGTGAGTCTTGTGTAAGAAATTGCTTAATTTTAAAATAGGCAATATTGGATCAGATTTATTTGTTCTAATTACCAACCATTCTTTAATTATATATACTTAGTTCCTTTTATCACCTTGAATATAGTAAGAATAAAGAGTTGATTAGAATAAGGTGAATTCATTTTATTTCATTAGGTTCTCTTGTGGTTAAATCTGATACTTCAGAATCCTGTTTCATATATTATACTAATTTACTATACTCATTATATTTCTTGAATGCCATTATACTTAATTGCATTACTATCCTGCCATGATAAATCATATCCAGTTTTACTGTTATAGGTAAGTAAAGTTTATGATATCCCAGACTTCAAATATTATAGGTTATAAGGTATACCGAGTGGGTGGGAGAATACCATTACTTTCCTAATTAGCGTTGAAACATCAGATGAAATTAAGAGCATTTTAAATAGATATAAGAGCCTATTTCCGGGCCAGAAATACCATAAAATCACTTTGGGTTGATGCTAAGAATAGGTTACTAGAGGATTTGTTTATGAGATAAAATGTCATGAATACAGCACAGTTTATGTTATAGAAAAATCCAGATGACTGAATATAACATAAAAGCAACAAAAAGTGTTTAAAACATGTTCACGAATTCTCGACTAACCTTAAGGAACTTGAGAATAGATTGGTAATGATGCCTTACTTGTTAGAATCAAGAGACAAGATCAAATTTGAAAGGACCAAAATACTTCATAAAAAGTTCGGAACACATAAAGGAAGGTTGACAACAGAAGCTCTGTTTATTAGTGTTCATTAAAGACAGCCTAATCAGAAAACACAAACAAAAATACAATTAGCTACCTTTTACCAAAAGTATATTAACAAGTAATTTGGATCTCTCCTATCTCTAACCAATCTGTTTAAATTATACATAGGTATATTCCGACAAATATCTAATTTGAATCTTTGAACATTACATATACATATACATTATACATTTAGTTTTTCTAATTTTATATAGATTTCTACATTTGTAAAATATTTTTCAATTTGTACTATTATTTTTGTTATTACTTTTGATAAACAAACTAATTAACATGTCACTCAATCATAGACAGTGACTTCAATTATTCATTACGTTTTATTAGTATAAAGTTACATATACACAAATATTTATTCTTTTTCACATTGTAAACATTTCACATTATTCACATTTTTATATTTTCTTATTTTAAAAGTTGAGATCATGAGTCAATTGAAACTAGACCACTATGAAAAACCTAGAAGCACTACACGACCGTTTCGTCCTATTATGGGAATCCTCAGCAGTGCGCATCCATAATCTCGCTCCCCTCTAGATTCGAACCTAGGACCTATCAGTCTTGCGCGTGAGCGCTTAACCTCCATACCACTGAGCCGACAGGCCTCCAATGGTGTCAATGTCTAACCTCAACTAACCCACGAAATTGAGCGACACACCCAACATTGTCTTCAGTGATTTAATATCTCACAAGAGAATCGGTTGAACTGCACTAGTCACTGCTTCTCACTAGAACTCCTATTTTGTTTTCCCATTTAACAAACCTAACATCTAAATATGATTAGGTAAATTTTTAAAGTAGATTTGTTTTATTAAGTTAATATCTTTAGTTGGATAATTATAATTTTAATAGTTATTCTGAAGAAGTTCAGACAAAATTAACAGACGAAATGTTGGAATTGGTCAAATTTTCAATGATGGAATTATTTCAAATATAGTGTCTTTTTTTAAATACAGTTTTTTCTCTTTCCCCCTCTTCATATGCTAATAGACAACTGTCGTAATATTTCAAATTTTGTTATTTTTTTTCTTTGGAAATACAAATAGTTTCTTTTTATTATTCTAGTAGGTAACCTTAAAATTCACTATGAATTCCTAAGTGAAGAGAAAAAATAGTAAATAAACGTTAACTGATAGCTAAATCTTTTAAGAAAAAACTTTTTTTTTAACTGATTGACAGTAATCCTTCCTTTACTGTATGAAAACAAAATGTATTATGTAATTTTTGCTTTGTTTCTTTTTCGTTTGTTTGTATGTTTTCAACTGTATGTATGTACATGTATATGGTCTAGCTTCAATTGACTCATGATCTCAACTATTGAGAACAGTAAAATCTTTACTAAAACTCCTTCTGATACACGTATATGTGTCTGTGATGATATTTTCAAGTATATTGTTTTGTTGTATTTATATGTATGAATTCTTTGTATTTTTTTTATAAATTACATTTTTGTAAAAAAAATGGATAAATTTACATTTATTTTATAAACATTTTAATTGTAATGATTCCAATCTAGTTAAATCAATTGAGTGAGATAGTAACTCACTGATGACAGTGGTGGATGTGTCACTCAATGTTGTGTATTAGTTGAAATTAGACATTAACACCATTGGATGCCGGTTGGCTTAGTGGTCTAATGGTTAAGCGTTCGCGCGCGAGACTGATAGGTTATGGGTTCGAATCTCGCGGTGGGGTGAGATTGTGGATGCGCCCTGCTAAGGATTCCCACAATAGGAAGAAACAGCTGTCCAGTGCTCCAGGATTTTCCATGTTGTTCTAGTCTCAACTGACTCTTGATCTCAACCATTGAAATTAATGTTAATTAAGACGAAGATTATCAGAGTTATGTGATATATAATAACGCAATACATTTTGAACAATATACTTGATAAGAACATTTATATATAAAAATTAAAGGTCAATTATACTAGAAATGGAGGGTAAAAGAAGTCAAGGATAATAAACAGGTAATGTGAAAACAATTTGAAACCTCATCACTCTGGATAATAAGCTAATATTATCAGGGTAGGTCTGGTTGACCTGTTACTTTTATTTATAAATATTCTTAACAAGCATATTATGTATGATTAGATTGGTCGAAATGTATTATGTTGATCTATCACATAGTTCTAATAATCTTTGTCTTCTTATTACATTATCGAAATTTATCAAAGGGACTAATTGCTTTAATGTTAAAGAGTTTTGTCTCAATTTTATATTTAACCCAGTGTTTACCCTTAAATAAACGAAGAAATTAGATTTAGAACATTAAAATTACTTACAAAAATATTTCAATAATTGATACGTTTTAATGTGTATGTCGTCAAATAAGATGATTACAGTTATATATCATTTACACAATATGATGAAATGATCCAACTTAAAAATCTACCGAAAATTGATACATAAAAACTGTTAAATGAAATTTTCAATGAAGTTGGTCAAGAGTCAACTAATGATCATCATGTCTTTTAGTGGATACAAAATATTCAATAACAGAGTTAACATCTAATGATCCACAGTCTTTACACTTCATTTAGGTTTCATATTGGCAGGAGATGGTTAGTTAATGCCTTTAGATTTTCATTGATAACTGATAGTTGATAAAAAAAGGAACCAATTCAAAATAGTACTGATTATTACTTAACATTTAATCCACGATCTCCTATGATTTGGCAGAATAAAAAAATTAAAAATACCTAGTACATTTCATTTTGTTATACTTAATAATCGGATTATTAGACATAGTGGCTAATATCAGTAGTTTATCAGATATGAAAATAATACTAATGTATTTCTACAGAATATTTGATGTTGAGTCAATTATGTCAGCGTAATACACGCACACACAAACGCACACAGATTCGTAATGACAAAATGACAACAATTTTTACTTAGTTAGACTGTTTGATTAATCATAGTGGTAATAATAATATTGACTGTATGATTTTATCAGACCTTCTCGAGTACACATTGGTTTACAGATAGTAAACCTTACAGATTGAAATATATGGAGCAAAAAATGTAAATGACCAATTTAGTTTGGGATACGACTTTCAATATTCTATAAGTTTACAGTTTGATTAGGTTTAGATTTAGTTTGTTGTTATCTTGGCTGAATTTTGACCAATGGTAGTTGAGATTGGTGTATGGTAAGTGTATTGCCTAACTCCGCCTGAAGTCCCTCCGGGAGCTACTGCTGATCCCAAGCCCGGATAAAGGAGGAGGGTTGGGCATGGGGTTAGCGTCCCCATCCCATAGAAAACTAACTCGCTAAAAAAACGCTAACCAGAAAAATATTCAAGTGTATTGCCTCGATATAACCATTATGTCATAAGTTAATAAAGAATATATGCAGATGATGAGTCTCAAATAGAACGAAAAGTGAGTCCTAGACCGCACTACCACTCTCCATTTATTTTATATGAATATAATGTTTCTTATATATATAAATATAGATGTTTCTTATAGTCTTTACAATTAATAATATGATATCATTTGGCTGTCGTACAAATATTTTCATGTATCACTTTAAGGCGGTGATTTTACTAACCTGTTAGTACGATTGACTGTGATGAACAACTACAGAGAATGAAACTAACTAACATCCCATCCGTTTGTCGGTCTATAGATCAATTGTAATTTTTTTCTGTTTATATCAATTCTGAAATCAATATCGTTGATAAAAAGGTAAAAAATCAGTTCATGATTGGTTTTAATTAATTTTATCCACTTCAAAAATTTCAGTGAATAATTTAATAGTAAGTTTTATACTTTCATTTCAATTCACTACAATTTTTTAGAAAGTCAGGTCAACAACTGACTGAATGTCATAAAAATACACAATTGTGAATGGACAGAGATGTTAAAAAAAACACAACAGTGATGACGACAACGACAGTGGTAACACCATCACCACCAAAAACAACAAAAATCATAATAGCACAGACGATAATGACAATCAGAATACAATGACACAAATTGACAGAAGTGACAAACGAAATAAATGATTTGTCTTCATTTTTCAGCCCGTTAACAAAGTTTAGCTGTAAGTGAACAGACGAAATGAAAAATAGTTAGGACATTACTTTTTCTTGCAAAAGAATGATCGTCATATAGTTTATCCTATGTGTTTCACATATAGTTGCTACCTTTATCTAATTTTTTTTGCTACTTTCATGATGTAATTTATAGTATTCTTATAGCAGCGTGTAATGTTACATGGATATTCATTATGTAGTATACAGTCAAAACTATATGTATGAACATTGTAACTATGATCAATGTTTTTTTTCTTTTAAAATGAAGTATTTCTTGTAGGAAATCATGTTTCTTTTGGTTTACAACAATATTTTCCACATACGCACACAACCATTAACTCTCCCTCTCTCAAGGGAAATACATTAAATGTAGCAAAAAAAAAGCTAAAGTAACAAAGAACAGTAGAGTGTTTCAAGGAATAATATTGTGTTTTATGCATTCCATTCCATTTCTCGAGCTGTTCATTTCCTTTTTTATTCTTTACATCACTTTCTTTATATAAACCCCTCTCTCTCTCACACACACATACCCTAATATACAATTATTATATACATTCTCGTTTTAGTGGGATACAAACAAAATGATTGTAACACATATTAATAATTTTGTAGTTATGTAACCTGATTGATAGACAAGTTGTGTCATGTGAAAAATGTTTACGCTTGTATTCATTTTCATTTATTATTTATTATTAAGTTGCATTAGTAAACATTAAAAAAAAGATGTCGATATGTAACCAGAACTGGATAAACATCTGTATACTTTCAGTGAACTTTAATATAAAATACTTAGAGAATATAAAAATTAGAATTGGTTTATAAACCGTTAATCATCATTTGAACCATTCAGTGTGTTATATGATGAAATAGTTTAATTTCTCAGTTGTTTTCTAACTAAGATCAGCTTGTGTTATGGACTATACAATTTAGTAATCTCTGAAATCTCTTACACTAATTTTAATCATGTTCTTATTAATGAGTGATTAAGAGAGATGATACTCAGAGCTCTAATAAGAAGTTATGATCAATAGAATTCAGTTATGTAGAGTGTGACGCAGTCACTTATCAACAGCGATGGAAGGTGGTTGTGTAATTTCTCCAGGCAATTGGGGTCGAACTTATAAACAGTTGGATCCAAAATTTAAAGCTTAAATGTTTATCGTAAGACACAAGGATTCATGATTCCATCTTCTTTGAATTCTTAGGTGCCTACTGTTGAGAATTCCTATACCAGACCGAAACAGCTGTCAAAGTGGTTCCAGGTTTTTAATAGTTGTCTAACTGAATTCATTTCGTGATGTAAATTATCTTTACAAACTCATATACTAATAATTTGACTTAAATCCTGGTGAAAATAAAAGATTTAAAAAAAATTGTTTGCCTCGAAGTTAGTTTATACCATAGATTAATTTTACTTAGATATTGTGAAAACAATGAAACAGCTGATGATTACATCATCCTTGTTTAGGATTCTTTAGTTGTATCCACCTTGAATTTCAATAACTGTTTTGTTAAAGTCAATTTGTGATACGTTCATATTGATTCTAGTTTTATTATTATTATTATTATTAAGTTCAGGTGGTCATTCGTGTCAGTCTAAAATAAATGGAATAGTGTGTATTGACATATGACGTAACTTTGAGCATTACTTATTATAATGTATATTGTCATTAATAGTATTCTTAACTAAAAAAGAACATCAAGAATATATATTTTTTTCACAGATTGAAATCATGAGTCAGTTGAAGCTAGACCACCATTGAAAACCTGGAAGCACTGGACGGCCATTTCGTCCTGGTATGGGACTCCTCAGCAGTGCGCATCCACGAACCCGCACCACCCGGGGCTCGAACCCAGGGCCTACTGGCTTCGCGCGCGAGCACTTAACCATTAGACCACTGAGCCGGCACCCAACGGTGTTAATGTCTAGCTTCAACCAATCCACAAAGTTGCGCTACCGTACACCATTGTCTTCAGTGAGTTCCTATCTCACAACAGACCTAGTTGAACTCCACAAAACACATTCTGATAATAATAATCACCTGCTCACTAGTGACTGACTTCAGGAGACACTTCTGGAGTTCTAGCGAGAAGTCGTTACCAGTGGAGTTCAACTAGGTCTGTTGTGAGGTAGGAACTCACTGAAGACAATGGTGTACGGTAGCGCAACTTCGTGGATTGGTTGAAGTTAGACATTAACACCGTTGGATGCCGGCTCAGTGGTCTAATGGTTAAGTGCTCGCGCGCGAAGCCAGTAGGCCCTGGGTTCGAGCCCCGGGTGGTGCGGGTTCGTGGATGCGCACTGCTGAGGAGTCCCATACCAGGACGAAATGGCCGTCCAGTGCTTCCAGGTTTTCAATGGTGGTCTAGCTTCAACTGACTCATGATTTCAATCTGTGAAAATTTCTAAAAATCTCCACAAAACACATTCTGATAATATATTTTTTTATTTGGTACTCATTGGATGGTTAGTTATGAAGTTAGACTCTGGATCTAACATTTAATAAAATGGAAGATTATCCAGTTGATTAGTTTAAGATATTAGTGAAACATCCTATTATGACTCTGTTCTAGGTAATCCGTGTTACTTCTAATGACGGCAATTAGTGGAGCTATGAAATATGAAAAAAACGGTGATCACAATTCGAGAAATCTTAATTTTAGTTTAAAACATCAAGTGATGATATCTTTCATTTGTAAACAATCTTTTAATGATCCAGTGTTTTGTCATAACTACTGTCTATTTTATTAATATCAAAACTTGTAACTTAAATATATGATTATTTAATGACAAATTCGCTATATTTCATAAATGATCAGTTCACGATCTCAATTAAAAACTCAACAATCTTTACAATCCTATACAGATAATTATCATGTGCTCACTAGTGATTAGCTTCAAGATAGATTTCCTGGAGTTCTACTGAGAAGTTGTGAGCAGTAGAGTTCAACCGTGTCTGTTGTGAGACAGTTACCCACTGAAGACAATGGAAGACGGTCACGTAATATCGTGGATTATTTGAAATTAGACATTAACACTCTTGGATGCCGGTTCAGTGGTCTAAAGGTTAAGCTTTTGCGCCCCGCATTCGGGATTGTGAATATGCACTTCTGAGGAGTCTCATATTAGGATGAAACGCCGTCCTATGCCCCAAGGTTTTCAATGGTGGTTAAAAACTCAACAATTTTCACAATCCTATACTGAATGCTAGCTAGTTACGACCTTTAAAAATGATATCTCTACCAAATGTTAATTGAATCAATTAAATTATTAGTTAGAAAGCACATTCCAATATTAAATGTTAAATGTTTAAGAGTTTAGCATAGTTGAAGAAATATGCACATAATCATCATTGATTACTAGTGCAATTCACTTAAGTTTAATGATTAATGTGATCGATCAATGAATTATTATTTGATCAGTAACTTGGAAGTTATAAAAGTTGAAATGTTTACAGTTTCGACTGAATTTTATAGTTTTACAGTTTGACAAAATTTTTATAAAACAGCCTGTCACAATATTCTTAAATAAAAGACGATCGGATGATATTTTGTAATGTTTCCATTAATGCAAAGGGCATGTAGAGATTGCTAAATTTTATAGATTACGTCATAAACTGGTCGTAGTTAAACAACCATTGGAAATCAAGAAGCAACGGACAACTGTTTTTTCTTAATACCGAATTTCTCAGGAGTTGATATCCATGACGAAATAGCTACCTGGTGGTTACTAGGTTTCTGACCTAAGTCAGTTTTTGGTGTAAACTATAAAATGAATTTTTGTAGAGTTTAGTTGAAAATAATTGTCATTATGAATTGGTGTTTTCTGAAAAATCACTGAAAACCATGGAGGATTTGACAGTTATTTAATCCTAAAATGGTACTACTTAGGAGTGCTCAGGGGATCTGTTCAAGCAAAAGTTTATGAGTTGATATCAATCAATTATATAAATTAGCTTTGAATTAATATTTATTCTTTATTTATCCAGAACAATTAAATAGACTACAAAAGATTCTGCAAACATTGTCGTTTTCATGGTTTGTAATATTAATGTTAAGAAAGTTTAGCTTACATTTATTTGTATGAAAAGTCATCAAATGTGTATAATAATCCATACTATGGTTTTACTTGTATTATGTTGGGCATTAATTTTGATGGAAAGATTTCCATAAAAAACTAAATTATTATACAAACGTGAATGTTCACAGATAAGGATCCATGTATTAGGAAGAATACTATTGTATTTCTCCTGGATTTGAAACAGTATAGTAACTGAGGTCAGTCCTCGACAAATACCACCTACATGTTAAACATTCACTCTTAGATACTTGAAGTTATAATTATTGAATCAGGAATACTGAAATGCTTATTGATGTTACTTTAGATTAAAGCTTATTTTAGAACTTATTTCAAATATTTATTATTGATAGTTCAGCAGTACTTTATAGAAAGAGAGAAAATGAAGTTATCTGATTCGCGTGAGATCATAATGTGAAGATGGGAACGAAAAATAATCTTATCAATTAGTTCAAATGATACCATTTTGTTTTAGTTTATTAAAGTTCATACGTGAAAGGAATAATTTCCCAATATTAATTATTTTCCGTTTTCACAAGAACACTTAAAATAACTTAATATAAAATTCATAGAAATCATTATTTGTTGGGTTTCTTTAAAAAAGCTAGTTTGTGTGTATTGTGTAGTTGTTACAGTTCATACAACCGAGATATTTAAATGGTCTTGTAATCCAACAATCTCACATATCGACTGAAATAAATCATTGGAAGACAACTCAGTGGTTTTAAGATTAGGCGCTTTCTGAAAAGTCTGAAGACTGCGGGTTTTTCAACTTCGGTTGATTCATATTTAAAGTTTATTTTAGTTAGTAGGTTTTAAAATCTACTTGATCTTTGCTGATTTTTAATGGTTCTCTTTAGTCGATATCAATTCTTAATTCTTAAACAAAATCTATGCGTGTCAATTTGATCGCCATAGATTAAGTTTTGTTATTTGAAATATCTCAATGATCTTTTATAAAATAATTTGCACATATTCGGAACATACATTTTTAATT